CCTCTCAGGACAGACATGCTCTTCACAGACACTGCTCTGTCTCTCATGCTGTCTAGTGCATGGCTTCATAGAGCACACAGAGCGTTTTAATAATGCTGGCAATGTTAGCTGTGTAAAGTCATGTGAGTTTTTCAGCGTTTTTAGCATTTTTTCATTAGCGTTTAGCTGTGTTTTTTCGTGTTTGCGGTTTTTAAATTTTTTTTTATTATTAGTATACAGGATTTATATAGCGCCAACAGTTTGCTCAGCACTTTACAATATAACGGAAGACAATACAGCAACAATACAGTTCAATACAAGAGGGATAGGAGGGCCTGATCCTTGGAGCTTACAATCTTAAATTAAAAAAAGTCCAAAAACGCTGGTTTGCTGCTATTTAATGCGTTTTTCAGTGTTAGAGCATTTTTACAGCTAAAAAACTCCTCTAGAAACCCACTAGTTCTGGGGGTTTTTTTACCAGCCAAAAAACGCCCCTGCCAAAAAATGCTGATTACAGTCTGTGTGTGCGTGGACACCTAGGATAACATGCTGGGGGGGGGGGGGGGGTTACTGGCTGTAGAAAAAACCATCAAAAGCCAAAAACAGCCGCTGTATAAATGTCCCGTGTGCGTGAGGACTTACCCAGCAGCAAACAGGAAGACCCAGTGGTGGACTGACCATTTGGAAACTCGGGCACTGCCTGAGGGCCCAGGGTCTGTAGGGGGCCCCATGAGATGCCCCTGGTACCTTTTTCATAGGCTTTTTCGGGTGTGGGCAAGGACACAGGGGCCCCATGAGTTGTCAGTCCGCCCCTGGGAAGACCCCAACCTCAGCATCAGAGAAGCTCCCCAGCAGCCTAAAGCGCAGGACTGCATGAGCAAGGTATTCAGTCTCCTTTTGAGCACCACTGCCCCTCTGTCCTCCAACAGTTGCCAACATTTCAAAACTTTTCCAGTTTCACTTATTTGCTGTGCATCCAGCTAGTCATTGTCGGCAGAGAATTACTTCAATTAGGGGCGGGGTGTTCTATGACCTGGGCGTGGTTCTACAAAACGAATATCAGAAACGTATTCTACAATTTAATTTTAAAAGACAGGAATATTTATGAGAAGAACAGAAAACAGAGGTCTAAGACATGTTTATTAGTAAAATGATTTGTTAGTTAGTTTACCTAGCTACAACTTTTAGTCTACACGTTCTATTTAAAGTGCTGTAACCCAACAGCTCTTGCAGAGAATACATTTTAAAAAATCCAATTCGTGTGCCCCTTATGCTGCAGGTAAGGATGAGGTGGGGGGACATGCTTTTGGTTTGTGGTCAGTGGGAGGAAAACAAATGCCCATCATCTGTGGTCAATGGGAGGGGGACAAAATGCCCACTATTTATGGTCTGAGAATGAGGGCAAAATGGCCACTATTTATGGTCAGTGCCAGGAAAAACATGCTGACTTTCTTTGGCTGGTGGGGGATAAAAATGCCCACCCACTATGAGAAGTGGGAAAAAAATTTTTTTAGCTGTTGTCAAGGAAGGAAAATTTTCCCCAGTGTTAGTGATTAGTGCTGCTGTCGGCAGTTCTAGAAAAAAAAATGTCTTGTTATCAGAGAATGGAAAAAAAAAAATTGGTGTTCATTGGTGGGGGGGATGTGGACTGTGAAGCATTGGTGCTTATATAGGGAAAAAGGAGAAAAACTGATGCTCGGATGGGAGCTGTGAAAATCAGTGTGGCTCAGTGAGAGGGGGGATGGGGTGGTGGGGGAATAGGGGGAAGTGGTGCTCAAGGTAGGGGGCAGGGCAACAGTGGGGTGGAGAGAGGGGCAGTAGTGCTCAGTGGGGGGACAGAGGAGTGTGCGGAGGGCATTGATGTGGACAGGGGTCTAGTGGTGCTTAGTGGAGAAATTTGCATGATGGGGGCAGTGTGTAGAGGACTTGAAGAAGTGGCAAGGGCAGGGTGGCAATAGGTTGCAGTGTGGAGGACAGGGGGATGTGGGGTCAAGTGGGGAAGACATGGAGGCAGTGGAGTGAAGGGGGGTGCCTGACTTTAGTATGGAGGATAGGGGCAGTGGTGCTTAGTGGAGGAATTGTTGCTACTGGGGCAGTGGGGTGGATAGAGTGGCAGGAGAGCTCAGTGGGGGATGGGCGAGTGGGATGAAGTGTGGGGGACAGGGGGGCAGTGCAAGGAAGGGTGGGGGCAATGGGGTGAAAAGAAAGTGGTAGGCAGAAGACAGGGGTGTAGTGGTGTGAACAGGAGGACATTGTGGGGGGCAGAGGGGTGACCTGGGGAGAACAGGGAGGATTGTGCAGTGAAAAGTGGGGTAAAGTGTAGGGGGGGGGGGAGTTAACTGTGCAGGACAGGGGAGAAATAGGGTGAAGTAGGGTGGACAAGAGGGGCAGTGGGTTGATGTGTGGAGAACAAGGGGACAATGAGATGGATGGGGTGGATAGGAGGGAAGTGGGATGAACAGAGGGACAGTGGGGTCAACAGCAGGCAGTGTGATAAAGCCTGAAGGACAGGGGACAGTGAGGTTAACAGGTATACATAGGGGAAGTAGCATGGCCACAGGGCAGTAGTGTGGAGGTCAATGGGGAAGTGGGGTGTACTGAAGAAAAAAAGTTTAAATACTGTTGGCAGAAAAACCCCAAAAGCTAGAAATTAAAAAAAAAAAATCAGCTACAAAATAATAGATTAGGGCTCATGTACACTGCAGCTGATATACTGACGTTCAGGAGCTTTTCTGCGTTTTTTTCAGCAGCCCCTGAACTCTCCGTAATGTTTTCTTATGTGTCCATGTACACATCGTTGTTTACAGGCAGTTTAGTTTACAGTCATTTTTTTTGAACGCACCAAACCTGCGTTCCGGAGTAGATTTTACCGGCGTTTCAAATGGCAAACACTTATAAACACGGTTAACCGCGTTTAGAAGTGTTTTTTTTAACTGTTCCATATCCAGATGCTGTCCAGAGCCTTTTTTCATCATCAGAAATGCATGCAAAGCATTTTCCATGTATTCAAATGGACCCGGTACACCAGCGCAGTCAGTTTCAGGTTTCGCGTGAAGGAAAAAAATGGTAGAACGCGCCGCATTATGCTCATGATGGGATCCATAGTGAAGACAACCAGAAAAGACAGGTCATCTCAACATATACTGCTCTCTCTGCTTCTGCTCTCTCTTTTCCTCTCAAAATGTTTGAAATTGTTAATTTTCTTACTATTTTTGAGTGCATTCTGGGCATTTTGGGAAGGTCTGAGGTTATCTTTTAAAAACGCTTCAAAATGCAATAAGCAAACTCAGCTAAACTGACGTTTTCCAGCAGTTTCCATCGCTCAGAAGACTTTTCCAAATGCCCCGTGTACATGAGCCCTAAGAGGAGAAGGGCTGATTAGGGTTAACAGTGTCAGTTAGTGTCAGACTTACTGGCAAGATCACCAGGTGGGAAAAAAGGAAAGAGCCTAAAAAAAGAAAACGAATGCAGTCATCACATCTAAGCATTGGTAAGCTGCAATACAATAAATGTTTGCTTTTGGGGTTTTTTTACCACTTTAAGTGCAAGCTAAGGCAGTTTAGCATTAAGTTCCCATAGATGGACAGATTATATCGTGACAAATAAATCATAAAACAGTCATAACACAAATTTACATCCTACCAAAGGTGCAGTCAGACAATGAATAAAATAAGAAGAATAATTTGATATTGTTCTAAAACTGAAAAATATATGAAATCAAAGAATGGAAAAGAACATTCAAAACTTGTCTATAACTTCATATACCGTAATAATGAACATCATTAAAGGACATACACACCGGTCTAAAAGTTTGGAATTTGTAAGAAATGTGTTTGTTTTCTGCAAGCCTGGATATTTTATTTATTATTGTTATACAGGATTTATGGTGCCAACAGTTTGCTCAGCGCTTTACAATATAACGGAGACAATACAGCAACAATACAGTTCTATACAAGAGGGTGAGGAGGGCCCTGATCCTGGGAGCTTACAATCTAGGGGGTATAAAAGTTCTATTAGATCTACTAAACATAATGAGGACATCCATTAATGTTACAATGGCTAATGATGTATATAACAGGAATCTGCTCCAACTCCGCTCTCAGTGATGGAAACCATAGAATGCAGTTTTTATACTCGCCACAAGGTGATGATCTTATGGTGAGCCAAATAATAGACAGGAAGTGATATCAGGTATAGAGAGGAAGTTATGTCATTCTTAGACAGGAAGTTCAGGTGAGAGGTGAGTTTGAAGGAAATAGGAAACAGTGCTGGAACTGGCAGCAGAGGAGGTAATAAGATCTTATTTTATATTTACACCCAGTAACCCCCCCCGTCATGTCCGTCCTCTTCCTCCATCATCATGTCTTTCATAGTTTATAGACCGGATACGTCCTAGATATAGAACCATTTATCCAACCGTCCGTCCAGATCCTCTGGTTTATAAACTGGATACATCCTAAATATAGAGCCATTTATCCAACTGTCCGTCCAGAGCCTCTGGTTTATAGACCGGATACGTCCTAAATATAGAACCATTTATCCAACCGTCCATCCAGAGCCTCTGGTTTATAGACCGGATACATCCTAAATATAGAACCATTTATCCAACCGTCCATCCAGAGCCTCTGATTTGCTCTTAGCAGTATTTGGATTAAAAAAGCTCTATATATTTATTTCACTTTAATTTTTCCTTTTCTAACCTAACTGGTTTCCTTTCTCTGTCATGTGATCCTGAGCACCAATCACAGCACAGATGCTCCTAGACCTATTTTGGTGGCGTTCACTGTCATCAATGTGCACAGTACATGCTGTGTCCAATGACACTAATAGAACGGGACACACAATATAGACATTCCCTGCCGCTGTGCACACAGAACAACATCATGTCTACATCATACATACTAAATAACCATCAAATACATGTCTGTAAATGCATATTGTGCAGATTTTTCTCACGCTATTATCTCTTTAGAGTGGATTGTTATGTATAGATAACATGACAACGCCAAAGAAGATAGATGAGGATGGGAGTCACATGGCCAAGAAGATACTAAGCCTCACCCTGGAGATTATCTACCTGTTTGTTGGAGAGGTGAGGGGGATTCTGGGAGGTCACATGACATCACTCTTATCTCTATTAATAAACACGCAGAGCTGACTGGAGAGGTGAGGAGGATTCTGGGAGGTCACATGACATCACTCATCTCTATTAATAAAACACAGACCTGACTGTAGAGGTGAGGAGGATTCTGGGAGGCCACATGAAGTCACTCTTACCTCTATTAATAAAACACAGAGCTGACCGGAGAGGTTTTAGGATTCTGGGAGGTCACATGACAACACTCTCATCTCTATTAATAGAACACAGACCTGACCGGAGAGGTGAGGATTCTGGGAGGTCACATGACATCGCTCTCATCTCTATTAATAAAACGCAGACCTGACCGGAGAGGTGAGGAGGATTCTGGGAGGTCACATGACATTACTCATCTCTATTAATAAAACGCAGACCTGACCGGAGAGGTGAGGAGGCTTCTGGGAGGTCACATGATATCACTCATCTCTATTAATAAAACGCAGACCTGACCGGAGAGGTGAGGAAGATTCTGGGAGGTCACATGATATCACTCATCTCTATTAAAAAAAAATGTAGACCTGACCGGAGAGTTGAGGAGGATTCTGGGAGGTCACATGACATCACTCATCTCTATTAATAAAACACAGACCTGACCGGAGAGGTGCGGAGGATTCTGGGAGGTCACATGACATCACTCATCTCTATTAATAAAACACAGACCTGACCGGAGAGGTGAGGAAGATTCTGAGAGGTCACATGACATCACTCATCTCTATTAATAAAACACAGACCTGACCGGAGAGGTGAGGAAGATTCTGGGAGGTCACATGACATCACTCATCTCTATTAATAAAACTCAGACCTGACCGGAGAGATGAAGAGGCTTCTGGGAGGTCACATAATATCACTCTTACCCTTTTAGTTACAAATCTGACTGTAGAGGTTCATACTTGTAAGATTCTTGAGGAGGATGCTGGGAAGGTGTACAATTATATTCTGTCTCAGGATTTGTACACAGGATTATGAAGTAGTGAGAAAAACATGTGGTGAGGGATCTATACCCATCATCTGTCCTTATGCACCTTCCTTAACCCCATTGGCTCCACCTCCTTGGAGCAATGACAAGAAGATCCTAGAAGTTCTCCAGAAGATCATTGATCTGCTGACAGGAGAGGTGAGCGGTGCCGGGAATTCTGGGACATTCTCCAGTAACAGACAAGGGATGTGTCTGGATGGTGACTGTATCATTGTGTGTGTCAGGTTCCTATAAGGTGTCAGGATGTCACTGTCTATTTCTCCATGGAGGAGTGGGAGTATTTAGAAGGACACAAGGACCTCTACAAGGACGTCATGATGGACAATCAGAGGACCTTCAGTCATTTACAGATTTTAAAAAAGCCATATCATATGAATAAGGTGATAGTGAACCGCACGCTAGAGGTTATCTACCTGCTGACTGGAGAGGTGAGAGAATTCTGGGAGCGTGTAATCACATCACTCATCTATACCAATGAAACACTCATGATGGGACAGGTAGGGGTTTTGACCCTATAATAATAATTGCTGTATTATACAGGAGTGTTCAGTAGTGAGGAAGACATCTTTTGAGCAGAACGGAGAGAAGACAAATCACAGTGTGTCCCCAAGATTGTGCAAAAGGCGAAGTCCCCTTATCCTGCCTCCTCGCTCAAATTCAACAGTTGACCAGAAGCAGAAGATCCTAGAAGTCACCAACAAGATGGGTGTGCTGCTGACAGGAGAGGTGAGCGGTGCTGGAAATTCTGGGACATTCTCCAGTAACAGACAAGGGATGTGTCTGGATGGTGACTGTATCATTGTGTGTGTCAGGTTCCTATAAGGTGTCAGGGTGTCACGGTCTATTTCTCCATGGAGGAGTGGGAGTATTTAGAAGGACACAAGGACCTCTACAAGGATGTCATGATGGATAATCAGCCATCCCTCACATCACCGGGTAAGAGGAGACTTTATTGTAAAGGAGAGAGCAGTACGGAGGGTCCACCTAGATCCCCCATCATCTGATAAACACATAGAAACAATGGATTCAGTCAGTGTGTGTGTTTCCTACAGATGGATCCAGTAATGAGAACCCACCAGAGAGATGTCCCCGTCCTCTGTATTCCAGGGATTCCACACAGGAAGGTCACACCATCCCTCACCATCATCAGGTAGATGGATCCAGTCAAGGGAGCCCACCAGAGAGATGTCCTCGTCCTCTGTATTCCCTGGATTCCACGCAGGAAGACCAGGAGATCCCTCACCATCATCAGGTAGATGGATCCAGTAATGGGAACCCACCAGAGAGATGTCCCCATCTTCTGTATTCCCGGGATTCCACACAGGAAGGTCACACTATCCTCCATCATCATCAGGTAGATGGATCCAGTAATGGGAACCCACCAGAAAGATGTCCCCATCCTCTGTATTCCCGGGACTCCACACAGGAAGGTCGCACCATCCCCCACCATTATCTGGTAAATGAAATGATTGTTGTAGAGCTCATAGGTTACTCCAGACTCTTGGGACCCATGTACACCTGTGCTCTTCCCTTCTGCATGTCAACATACGAGGCACTAAGGCAGCCCATTCAAATAAATCGGCTGCCAGTGTACAAGAACAAACCAAAAACCAACAATTTTTCCAACACAGTGCACCACAGCACATTGTAGTGAATTACTGTGCGTTGTGGCGCTTTGAAATGCAGGGCTGTATCGCCTTAGGGTGCTGGGTTGTCATTCAGGTTGAATGGCCACCAAGGAGCGAATTAATTTGTTGCCATTTACACCTGAACACTTTGTTCTGAATTACATACTTTTGGTCCCATAGACTGTAATGGGAGCGCTGGAAAAACGCTTGAAAAATGTGTGCATACGTGTGCTTTTTGAGTGCTCCCATTAAAGATCTACAGTGGTCACAAATGGTAGACTGTGGTCCGGACCCCGACCTAGTGATGCTCCTGTCTTGACCATCAGCCCACCAATCTGCAGCACCAGATCCCCACTGCTCAGCAGTCATTGGTTGCTAGGACCTCTGGCGTCCTATCAACCAATGACATTACATATTTGCCCCGCCCTTGCAGCAAGCTTCCACTCCCAGCTCCCGCCCCTTGTTTGCCTGAATACAGGGACATATCCATCAGGTACAGGTACACTGTTCATTTTGATGGGCTCTACCACTCTATAAGTGCAGTATGAATAATCAAAACTGATCTATAAAGATCGTTCTTGGGGGAACCCGATCTATGAGGGAACTCGGATGGGCGCACCTAATGTAAAGGGACACTGTGATGGGGACATTTGATATAAGGGGTGTGACGATCGCGGCATCAGACCCCAGCCCTTCTCACCAAACTCGTGACCGAAGGACTAGCCAATCTAAAACCGCGCTGTCACGAGCGTAACAATACCACGCCCAGCTGCACCCTGCACAAAGATTTTCCAGCTAATGGACGACAACCTGTGTACCTGCAGCCTGAGAGCGATTGTTACTGGGTCAGGTTAATTACACAATTAACCCTTCACACTGCCACCACCTACTTTTTGTACAAAGTAAGAGGAAACTCGGCAATATCAGCAATAACACTATGATGGTTGAATAATCGTCTGTATACCACTGTCACCGCAGGCAGAGATATACCGAAGTTTAAAACGCACACACAGTAGCGCTCTTCAGAGGCAGGGATTCTTAGTTTGCATTAAAGAGCTTTAGAAACAGTTCAACACTTTCAGAAAGTAAGATTTATTACTAAAAGGTCAAAAGGGTGCAATAAAAATATTTACAGAAAAAGATGTAGCCAATATATACAGTATATATATATATATATATATAGAGAGAGAGAGAGAGAGAGAGAGAGAGAGCAATAGCACAGCCAAGAGATAACAGAAAGACGTTTAGAGGAATAAAGTACTTGCCGTCAGCCTTGGTTTAAGCAGATCAGGTTTCAGAGCCAAAAGGATGCCTTATCTCCCAAAGTTAGTTCCGATGTTAAAAGGGAGAATCTTCAACTTTGCTCAACTCAGCTTAGCTTTTTCTAGGAACTCAGCAGGGTGTCTCCCTGAAGCAGAGAACCAATCGCCTCCTTTGGACGGGTGTTGCAGGCGGAGACCCAAGCTATGACCAAAAACCCTCACAGTTGATGTCATGGTTCATAACTTACCCTGGATACATATAACATTCTATCCAGGAGTAGATTAATACTCAGAATCTTCTGCTGAACGTCTACATATGAAATATGACATGCCTGTTGTGACGGTTAAGGAGATATCATTTTCTGCTTTCCTGTATATGTCAGATAGGGGGTGTAATTTATCAGACGACTTGTATTAAAGTGACCGATCTGAATATATGCCTGGTTTTTAGGTAAGTCTCTCATATTCCAAGATATGTAATCATAGGGGAAAGTGGGTCTTGAATGTGATGTCTGCTTTATTGCCTATCTGGAATGTCTTTGAGGCTCAGTGAGGGACTTGGTTTCTGGCTTTATGATCCCTTTCCAAGCAAGAGTCTCGCACACATATGGGCACCAGCTAATTGGGGTTTATAGCCATGATGCCCTCCCAATGAGTTTGCTGCCTGTGATCTCTGTCATCATCCAGACCACATCTCACTCAACAGAGAGGGAGGGGGGATATCGGAGGAATCTGATTTGGGAGAGAGAGATACAAGATTGAGGGGTTTGGAGCAAAATGGATGACCGCGTCCATCTGTGCACGATTGCTACAAGGGGCACTCTGATGGGGACACCTGATGTAAGGGGGCATTCTGATGGGCACACCTAATGTAAAGGGACACTCTAATGGGGACATTTGATATAAGGGGCACTCTGATGGGAACACCTGATGTAAGGGGGCATTCTGATGGGGATACCTGATGTAAGGGAGCACTCTGATGGGGCCACCTGATATAAGGGGGCACTCTGATGGGGACACCTGATGTAAGGGGGCACTCTGATGGGGTCACCTGATGTACTGGGGCACTTTGATTGGGACACTCGATAGTATCCCCATCAGAGTGCCCCCTTACATCAGGTGTCCCCATCAGAGTGCCCCCTTACATCAGGAGTCCCCACTGGGGCACTCTGAAGATTTGGGGGTCACTTTGATGGGGACACCTAATGTAAAGTGGCACTCTGATGGGAACACCTAATGTAAGGGGGCAGTCTGATGGGCACACCTGATGTAAGGGGGAACTCTGATGGGTACACCTTATGTAAGGGGGCAGTCTGATGGGGACACCTGATGAAAGGGGGTATTCTTATGGGGACACCTAATGTAAAGGGGCACTCTGATGGGGACACCTAATGTAAGGGGGAACTCTGATGGGAACACCTGATGTAAGGGGGCATTCTGATGGGGACACCTGATGTAAGGGGGCACTCTGATGGGGACACCTGATGTAAGGGGGTATTCTGATGGGGACACCTGATGTAAGGGGGCACTCTGATGGGGACACCTGATGTACTGGGGCACTCTGATGGGGACACTTGATGAAATGGGGCATTGTGAAGAATTGTGGGTCACTTTGATGGGGACACCTAATGTAAAGGGGCACTCTGATGGGGACACCTGATGTACTGGGCACTCTGATAGGGACACTTGATGCAATGGGGCACTGTGAAGATTTGTGGGTCACTTTGATGGGGACACCTAATGTAAAGGGGCATTCTGATGGGAACTCCTAATGTAAGATGGCACTCTGATGGGGACACATGAAGTAAAGGGGCACTCTGATGAGCACCGATTATGAAACCTGATGTAATGGGGCACTCTGATGGGGACACCTGATGTACTGGGACACTCTGATGGGGACACCTGATGCACTGGGAAACTCTGATGGAGACACCTGATGCACTGGGGCACTGTGAAGATTTGTGTGTCACTTTGATGGAGACACCAAATGTAAAGGGCCACTCTGATGGGGACACCTAATGTAATGGGGCACTCTGATGAGGACAGTTGAAGTAAAGGGGCACTCTGATGAGCACCCTGATTGTGATACCTGATGTAATGGGGCACTCTGATGGGGGAACCTGATACATTTTTGACAGACGTTCAATGATTACAATCTTTCTGCGTTATTGCACGAACTTGAGATTTGGACCTCGGCTGTAAGAACGTTTTAGTAACCAGACCTCCTTGAATTTTTTTTTCATTACCATTAGTCTATGGGGTAAAAAATGCATGATCCTGCTCCTGTAGTACAAGTCTAACACTCTAAATGATCAAACTAGGTGCATGCAAAGTGTGAATGGGCCCCTAAAAATATATCTTTGTATCTGGTCCAGAAGTCTGTAAATGTTGAATTTGTTACTGTTGATTTTCCTGTTGCTGTAGGGTGAAGACATTATTGATGTGAAAGTTGAGGTTAAAGAGGAGGAAGTGACGTATGTGAGGGGTGATCAGCTATCTGCTGGAGAGGATGAAATTATCCTGACAGTTAAAGAGAAGAAATCGTCTCTCGTTATCAACACAGGTGAGGTAACACTAGATACAAGAACAACTCACATTTTAGCCATTTATTTACAGTATACTCTTTACTGATACAGACATACAAATATATTTTTGGTAAGTGGCTTGTAACATTTCCAGCACCCCAAACTCTGGAAAAATAATGGTGCATATAGTCATTAGCTGTGAAGGTTTGTAGTATATTGTCTTTGTATATTGGGATTTCCTGTGTTTGTGAGTATCCATCATACAATTCCACAAAGAGTCAGCTATCTTGCAGTAGAAAACTATAATTTGTTTTATCAACATAGAGATCATCCCTCAGTTATTAAAAGAGTTAAAACACTCTTTTTGGTCTCTATAATTCTATATCATCATGTTCCCAACAAATGAGGAGGAGATACTGTACACCCTATGAAAGGTCCATCTCCATTCCTCAGTATAAAGTCATGTTCCCAACAAATGAGGAGGATATATTGTACACCATATGAAAGGTCCATCTCCATTCCTCAATAGAACATCATGTTCCCAACAAATGAGGAGGAGAGATACTGGACACCATATGAAAAGTCCATCTCCATTCCTCAATATAACGTCATGTTCCCAACAAATGAGGAGGAGATACTGGACACCATGTGAAAAGTCCATCTCCATTCCTCAATGTAACGTCATATCCCCAACAAATGAGGAGGAGATACTGGACACCATATATAAAAAGACAATCTCCATTTCTCAATATAACGTCATGTTCCCAACAAATGAGGAGGAGATACTGGACACCATATAAAAGGTCCATCTCCATTTCTCAATATAACGTCATGTTCCCAACAAATGAGATACTGGGCACCATATGAAAGGTCCATCTCCATTCCTCAATATAACGTCATGTTGCCAACAAATGAGGAGGAGATACTGGACACCATATAAAAGGTCCATCTGCATTCCTCAATTTAACATCATGTTCTCAACAAATGAGGAGGAGATAC